ATAGATTTTGGCTAAATATTTGTTGTTGTTTGCAGTAATACCATCCAAACAATGAAACCACACATACATAACCTGTTCAGACATAAATTTAGATTGGTCAGTACTATATGTATTTATTTATTTATATTCAACTTGTTGTTAATTATATAGTATTGACGGATGCAATTCTATATTGGTGAAGCATAACAGTTAAATTCTTCACATAGTCACTATAATTTGATGATTGTGTATTAATTAGCCTATATCTCTCTGATCTCTTATTAATTAATGCTTATGATCTGACTGTATACCTCAACCTTAAAAACAAATCACACCATGATGTAGGGATGTGATTCATTTACATTGGAACAACATTTCTTAACAATAGGCAGCACATGAAATCCAGCGTGATGAATCAGAAAATTAGTACGTTTTATTAAGTCTCTGCCTCTGCATGCTGTCACACGTCTGACCGGCCTCCGTGCTCCACACAGAACGCTGGCCGACAAACTGTGCAGTTTAGCTCGATACTCATCAAGAAGTTATTTGATGTCTTCCACTCTCCTCGTCGTTGGTACCTTTGCGTCCGCTTTCGTTGCAGAGGTGACGCCAAGAGACCCGTCTTACCTGAGTCGGATTGGCCATGAACCTGACTGTATTAGTGAAACCAACAACGGCAGCGAGTGAGTATTAACCAGTCGTGGGTAGAAAAGAGTCTTCACAGAATGCAGGTGGGATGATTTGCATGGGATGCTGCATTAAAGACAACACGGAAATACGGGACAAACCGCGTCACGCATTAATTCAAAACGGGACAAAGCGCTATTTAGTTATCAAATACGGACAATTCCGTATTTTAAGGGATGGTTAAATAATAAGTTAATAAATTATTATTATTGCCATAATCAAGCAGCCCTAGTTGCCAAATAAGGCAGTGGGTTTAATTAATGTTTGACCTGAATATCTTGAGTCAAGTCAGTAATTGGTAGTTTGGTGTTTATTGATCTCTTGATGCCATAAAAAGACCCTTTTTGCTCTCATTCACAGCCAAGCTCAAAGTTTCTCACCTGTTAAAAAATGTTTGACACACACTCAGTAGCTTGTCTGGAAAATGATCTCTTTGGTTTTGGGTTGGTTGACTGTCAGGCTCCAGGTTGTCCAGTTTGTGCGACGCTCCACTCAGTATACAGTATATACTGTATACAGTGACAGTGTGTTGGAGTCTTTTTAATGACCCATCAGCTTCTCGGTTTTCTGAGTTTTATAGTGACTTTAAGCTCATTGTTTATCCGTCGGCTGCATGTTTACTGTTCTGGTTCGCTCTCATAGCGTAGAATAAAAGGAAACACAGTAAAAAGCTACAGTGTGGAAATGTAAGGAATTAGATTTTCAGCGCCCCCGGGCCCTGCGAACTCTGAAGAAGACGCGCTCCACGAGAAAACGGCGGGCGCTAGGTTTAGGGTAACCATGGTAACGGCTTTTGTGCGTTACACAGTTGTAGCCTATTTAAGTGAAGTGAAAATTATAGGCTGCATAACTTTACCTGATAGGCCTTCATCTAGTTTTGCGGGGAAGTTCCTGTTGATGTCGTGATAACTATTTAGATTCTGGAAATTCAAACGGCGACCATCAGTTTCTCTCTCAATGATTTGTGCTCCGTGTCGCGTCCAAAAAGTTCAAGACCATTCAACTCCGTCGGCATGTGTGTGTGTGAGCCGAGCACAACCGCAACAGTTTCTCGGAATGCACCTGCTTGTCACTGAACCTTGCTCGGCTACTGAACAGACTGTTTATGTTGCTCCCTGATAAAAGAAATATGTTTCTGCTGATACCTGAAAACAGATTTAAATATGTCAACCTGTTGCTCAAAGGAGCCTGTTTGATCGTGGCTCTCGACTCTAACTTGTTTTAACAAGCCAGATTAAAGGTAATGCCCTGCCAGTGGCAAATAGCTTTGGTTTAATATTAGTTACATTAATGTTTAAGTTGAGATTTACAAGAAATGCCGATATTAAAGTGAAAAGACCCGATTTTTGAGCCGATATTTAGATTTTGAAAATGATTTGGATAGTAGACCCCTTTCCTGTATAAATTACACTTAGAACAGGCTGATATTGAAAGCGGTACTATATGTGGGCTATAAAACCTTTTTCCTACATGGATTATGTTAATAAAATTACAGTCTCAACAACTTCACATGTAAACAATTGCACGTCAATAAATATTTGTTACTGGAAGGTGCAACTTTTCAGCCATCTGTAAACAGTGAGAGAGAATACGCATGTTTATTTTACCTTACACGTATCTGCTGTATAACTACTTTCAATTTAGCATATTCACATCTAGTTAACGATACAACAAATCCACGGCTCGGTCCAGCAGTGGACTCAGGGCCCCGTTTCAGAAAACGGGTTCAAGAAACTCTGAGTGTAAACCTGAACTCTGAGCTGTCAAACTCAGAGTTCAGGTTTCAGAACAGTGTTTAAAATGAGTTCAGTCAACTCTGCGTACGTTGAGCCTGATGGAAGCGCGTGCGTGGGGATGAAAAAAAGCCTCATCAATGGAGCTCCGATACTACGAGTCACTATGGCAACGGGTAAATAAATAAAGGCAGAGCCTCCATTTTAATCGGGTGGAGCGAGAAATATGAATGCTGCCAACGTGGACTATGATGGGCTTTAAAACGCAGGAGTGGAGGAAGGAGTCAATACTTTAACAATATTACATTTTATTCAGCGTTGCTCATTCATCATTTACCAGACTGGAGTTTCCTTAATGAATGATAAAGTGCTGGGATTCTCCTGCAGCCTGTTGTTCATTTTAAAAAGCTACAGGCCTGTTTATGCAGCTGGAACCTGACGGGACTAAATGCCGGTGGCAATAACTAGATAAAAATATTAATGAACAGATTAGACACAGTTTAGGCTCCTGATGGACCTGTGATTGTAAAGTGACAGTCAGACTCAGCAGGTCTATTAATGACTTTTTTGCAGTGGAAAATGTGTCTAGGTTCAAACTGACTGTGAAGTTTTAGAAATCTAATCTTGCTCATTTTGTATTTTATGAAATGCTGTCAAAACACATTCAGACTATCAAAAGATAATCTAAAACTGTTGTTTCAGCTGCACCACATCATCCTCAACAATCATATTCACATCATATCCAGCTGATAACTACGATAGGAATGTTCAATCTGTGCGACTACAATATGAAAGGTTACTGTTCATTGATCAGTTTAAACAGTAGCCTATACTGCAGCACTCTAACGCACGGTAAGTGTTTTTGTGCAACTGTTGCCAACCTGACAGCAGCCTTAATGTCCACAGAGTCACTGAGTTATAAGGACAGTGCAGCTTATAGATTTTATTCTGTGCTGAGGATAAATTTACGATGTCCAAAGATAACTCTCTGTCCTTACATCGATGACAGGTTGATCATAAAAGAGGTCATGTTCAAGAAGATCGTGTGTTAAAAAACAAAAACTAACAGCCTATTTAACCGTGATTTTGATGTTTCTGAAGACGTAATTGCGTTCCAGTCTTTGATATCGACAGTATGTATGAGGAAACGTCAGACGGCCGCTTCAGGCTCCGCAGGAGGAGTCAGAGAGCGTTGTTGAAGTAACCTCCTCCCAAGCAGGTCAGGTTCACAGCGCAAGTTACAAACCTAGAGTTTATCTGATCTCGCTCTCTGAAACTGAAAACCCAGAGTTTCCCTCATCTCGGGCTCAACTAACTCAGAGTTTGAACCTCAGAGGGCTGTGGTGCGATTATAAAACGATTATCAAATCTTCAAATCCCTTTTTTTTTAATGTGATTTCTGGATAATTACTAAGCATTTGCACATTAAAATCCAAAACAAAATGTATCCTAATCCCTATCCCCTCCCTAATTTACTTTATGAATTTCAGCTCCTTTATGGTCACACCGTCCTTCTCTCACCTCTACTGAGCAAAGAATGCACATCTTATTCTCTTACATTAACTTCTGGCATCTGTGCTCCCTTTACTCATCTTCTATTCACTCCTTTCTTCTAAATGTTCCATTTCACCTGCTTTCACATTTTAATTTCTTCTGGAGTCCCTGGATCTTGCAGTTAATCCTGCTGCTGTCCCTTGCTGTGATGTCTGTCCTTCCTCTCCCCTTGCTGACTCATCTGTGTGATAAAATACCACAAACAGTCAGATCAGCTAACATTCGTTAGTGAGCAGTGATGAGTGATGAAGCATTTTGAAGCTTTGGGGCTTTAAGCTGAGCACAGTTGCATCTGGTGGCGTGTAAAACCTTTAGACTGAGGCCGAAACGCCACCGTAACTCGCTGATACCAATCATTTTAGTCTCAAGCGTGCAATAAAGAGGGTTAACTCTAACCTGACAGTTGATATTTATGAGATTCAGACATGTGATTGGACAGTGATATTCATTAAACTAGCCTTTAGTTACATTAGTACAGGAGCAAAATGAACTGAATGAAACCTGGTTCACAGCGTAAGTTGGCGGGTTACAGACCCAGAGTTTATCTGATCTCGCTCTCTGAAACCGAAAACCAAGAGTTTCTCTTATCTTGGGCTCAACTTGACTCAGTTTTGTTGATGTTTACTGTTGCTTTACTGCTTGGTGGAGGGTCAATTGTTATGTGAAGATATGAAGTTTTATGGGCTGGGCTAAGACCCCCTGGTTTAAACATTTATTTAGGCTACACAAACAGTCCAGTCACTTAACGAGGCTGCTGATGAGTTAAAAGAAATATTTTGTAAATGGTAAAAAAGTAGGCTAGTGTTGTATTTTCCAGAACAAGCAGCACATGACACATCTGCACAGCGTTTGGCTCGATGTTTGTTCTGTTTTCCAGACTGCAATCAGCCTAAAACGAGCTCTGGTGAGTCAGTTCATTTCAAACAGAGTCTCCAGCTGCTGATACAGTAACGATGGTTTGTGAATCTCTGCGGGACAAAAAGCTTCAATCTGCTAAGCGCTTAGCAACAGTAACTAAGGGGAGCTTAACGTGCTTCGCGCGAGAACACGGAGCTCCACGAGGTCCTGCAGCGCTCCTGAATCTGAAGAGCTCCGACAGTCACAGCGGAGACCTGCTGGATCTCAGAGACCAGGACCAAGAGCGGGATGGAGGAGGACAACCAGGACCCGGAGCCCCGGAGCAACAACGTCCCCGGAGGACAAACAGCAGGCTCGAGCTCTGATAGCACCGATGTTCAGGTCAGTGTTCATGAACACAGCTAGCAGCTAACAAGAAGCTAACGTGGCGTTAGCTCGGCCTGGTTCCGACACGTAGCTTCATATTGACTGTAAACAAGATGTAATGTAGCAGGATTCAACAGTGGAGCCATCAGAACCCCGTATCTCTACAGAACCCACACTTAATGTGACGGTCGGAACCGAGGAGGAGGAGGAGCAGGAGGAGGAGGAGGAGGTCTCTTGTAGCATGTAGCCTGCTGCCTGGGTGTTAGCATGCTAGCTAAGACTGGACAAAGCTGAAGTTAACTTCCGGTTCGGCAGTTAAGGGAAACTTAACTGTGATTTTTTTCACCCGTCCCCAAGCGACGCGTCCCAGAACATCGTCCCATAAGCACCACAACACTCACTAATACTTACAGTATGCATGTACATGTAATAGAGAGCGTTCAGAAGACTGCTTAGGCTTTGTGTTATCAACACTGCAAAGACTTTACAACCAATGACAGTTACAGGTGGGCAAGGGCGTCAGTTTGTGTGGCGGAGACTTTTAGGGGCTCAGATTAGAGTTGTGACGATGCAGAATACTGGGGTCACAAGAACAAGACTAGAAGTTATTTTAATACTATTTAAAAGAAGTATTAATTGATAAAAATATACAGTTGGGGGTCCTCGCTCAGACGAGTTTGAGCATTAAACACTTAATTTCCCGCATTCTGGAGCCATTTTCTGCACCAGTAAACATCTTTATTTATATAAAGGGCAACACAAAATTCAGATGGCATATGACAATTCTGAATATACAATGCAGATCTGTTTTTTCTATATTTACATTGTATTGCATGTTTTCTTAATGCCTTATTGTTATTTAACATTTCTTGAATTTGAGGGTCGTGATGGTGCAGTGGATAATTAAGTTCTGAAAATGGTCCAGTCAGCAGCAGAATCTTTGGCTTGAGCCCATGCAACATTTCTCTCTCTCATCATAAAGGTTAACTCTTCAGTGAGCCATAGATTATTCCTCCCGCTAATTCTAAATGTCTTTTTAAAGGAGCGTGCTTATTACAAATAGCTGAAAAGGCATTGCAAGGCATGTTTAACATCAGCTATCAGACAGACACCCTCCAAATTACAGTTGTACAGATCATGATTAAAAGCCTGTTATTAAAATGTTTATAACACCTTTTAAAAACATAACAAGGTTTACGTTTAGGTAGGCCAATCCCAGTTAAGATCACCCATTAGAATTACTTTGGAGTGATTAAGGTTGAGTAGTATTTCATAAAGAGAGGAAATAGTTTATTTTGTGGCGGATCGTGGCCTGTAACAGCCAACAATAATGAGGTGTATGTCCTTGAATAAATTTACTTTCAATGCCAGTAGATCAAATTGTTTGACTTTACTTACTGACAATGTAAGCAACTCTGCCCCCCTTGCCTGAACGATCTGCTCTGAATATATTCGCCATCCTATAGCATCATATTATCTGTTCATGTTGATTTTAACCACGTTTCTGGTAAGACCATGATGTCCATGTCTGTTATATCAACCCACAGTCTTAGCGTGTTCATTTTTGGAAGGAGACTTATAACTTTAAAATACGTGAGTCCAAGTCCGGATCTGTTTTTGAAGTCACATGGGGTATATATTAGAGCCCGACCGATATATTGGCCGATATGAGCTAATTGCATTTAATCGCCATTGGCCGTTTATAACGGCAGATATGTGACTATTAAAAAAGAAACCTAGAGTCAGATCCAACAAAAACAATCTGAAAACAATCAGCTGACCGGAGTTTACAGGAGCTCACTGCAGCATGTAGAAACCAAACACGCAGAGGGCTGTGTGAGCGGTGAGTCGTTTTTTTGTCAAGTTACATTAGTCATTACATGACTTAAATAATTATAATAAAAAAACATTCATGACTTGTTAACCCTCCGTTTTTCTCTGCCATCTCCCGGCTTCCTAGCAGCTCACCGCAGGTTAATGTTACGGTAGCTGAGTGTTGGAAGCTGCTGACAGACGTAACTGTAGATTTATTCTGAAACAGTGTGGCAGTTCTAGTGAACGGTCCACATTTATCTCTAGTTCATCACTAAATATTCTCTAAAATCACATAACATTACAGCAGCTCATGCTGCCCGTTGCTAAATTAGCCACAAAGCTAATGGCGTGTTTATCAGTGGAGGAGCGCTAACATCGTAATGAGCCGTTAAACTATAGTTTCTGACGTATTCTAAATATATCTGCAGTTAGTCTGCGTGTCTGAAATGATTAAACCAGAGCGGACATGTAAATAAACGTGAGCTGAACAAGAAAATAACACGGCTTCCTGTAGCTCCTCTTTGTGTGACGTTGTAGATGTGAAACGCTGTAGTCAGAGCCGTAACGGCTGGTTTTTGAGACTATTATCTATTTTATTAACATAATCCATTTAGGAAACAGTTTTATAGCCCACATACATACCAACTTTCAATATCATCCTGTTCTAAGTGTAGTTTATACAGGAAAGGGGTCTACTATCCAAATCATTCTTAAAATCAAAATATCGCCTTATAAATCAGCTCTTTTTCACTTAATATCGGCATTGGCCCCCAAAAACCCATATAGTATATATTTTGTTTTTTGTGAGTCAGGCCCAGGATCTGGTGGTCTTTCCCAGCAAAAGGAGTAAAACAATAGACTTACTGTGGGCTTTTCATCATGGTTATTTAAGTTGTTCACTATTAGCAGGTGTAAAGAGGGGCTCACTTTTATTTGACGCATCCTACCACCCAGATTGTAGGGTATAAAATAGGCCCAGACCTGATCAAATGGCACCAATGTGATCAGTTAGGCTCACCATACAAGCCATTTACCAGTAGTCAGGTGAAGCAGGCCATCCAGAAGACAGAGTAGGTTCGAAATTGACCTTTCGCTAAGCCACGCCCTGAATACACAGCTGGCCAATCACAGCCATTGACTCTAATGTAAAAGGCGATGTTGTCTAATTTATTTTGCCAGTATTTTTCTAAGATATGGTCAAACGCTGTTCCTGGGGCACTTGTAATAGTTAGAGTTTCAACCCAGAGAGGTTGAAAGGAGAAGTACGATTTATTCTCTTTCCAAAACCTGAAATAAATCAAGAAATATGTCATATGTGGATTGTTCCTAATGTAATGTTAGTTAGCTAACGCTAGCTAACTTCCTACTGAATGTAACGTTATAAATCCCTACGGTTCTGCTTTTTACTGATAGTAATAATGAATAGAGGACTACCCAGCGGTAAAGGAACAGTGTCGATCGTTCGTATCATCTTTTGTCTCTGTCGTCGGGGGATGCGGTGGTTCACTTGTACTGTGTGATCGGTAGGCTTTAGCTTCTATCTTTCATTTTTTTCACGTCAGTTTGACAGCCTGAATAAAACCTTCAAATGTATAATGCAACTGCAAAACTTCTTTCTGAGATTGCATTTTCCAACAAATTTTACAGTATTTCTCTGGGGAGTGCAGTAATAGACAGTGGCAGCGCCGACAGTTTGTCGGACTGAGCAACAGTAACTAAGGGGAGCGGGGCTTAGCAAAGGGTCAATTCCCTCGAGTCATTCAGCAGATGATTTAAAATATTAGCCACTTCAATTCATCAGGCCAATGGCAGTAATCAATCTCCTGTTAGGATTGATTTAAATACAACAAGATACTATAGAAAGACACTAGATAAACCACTGGTTTCCCAGAAGAGATTACTTTCCTTGGTTAGGTTTTGCAGAAGCCAGGAACAGATGTCAAATGCCAAAGTGTGTGAGCATTCACGGAGCAGCTTCCACAAAACACACTGTTAGAGGTCTGTAATATTATGAGATGTGTAAGAATAATTTCTGTCATTTTGAAACTATGGCAGAACAAATTAAACTGGCGGGCCGCATGTTCTATTTATTAATGTGAATCGCTGTATTGACATTTACAAATTGTGCCTTTCCTTTGCTAGCGTTCATCTCAATTAGCAATCATGATTTATGGGTAACCATAACTTGATGTTTTCTGCTCAGATGCTGAAGCATTTCCGTCGTGCTGTTGTGGTAGGCTAGTTATGTTTTACAGCAGACACTCAGGCATGCAAACCTTTCAGCGAAATCAGACAGGGTGTCTCATATGGACGCTAAAGGGTACCTTTTGCATCAAATAATGTTTCGTCAGCCTATCTGAAAGCATCTGTAACACACAAGTAATTATGAACAGGCACATTTTTGGTAACATACTTTGACTGACAGGACCACTTTTGTAAGCTAGCTTACGATGTTAACTGTCCTGTCAGATACAGTAATGTTGTCAAGTTTATAACTTATCCCACTCTTATTAACCAATAATGTTAGCTAAGCTAATTGTTCATTTATTTATTTATTATTTATTTTAAACCGGTGGCAGCACCCTGGATGTAATGGAGTTTAACGTCAGCAAGACAAAATGTGTAGGCATCTGTTTCATTTATACTGGGTACGTGTCTCTATCACTTTTTACAGCACTTGTTAAAAATGCTTTGATAAAAGCTTGTTAAATAAATGAAAGTACTTTGAAAAGGTTTATTTGAACATATTTATTTAACATAAGATAAGACAAGCTACTAATTATAAAATTACCCATAAATGTGCATTCACCGGTTCGTACCATTTTAACAACTTCTTGTCACAGTTTCTTTTTGGCCAAGATTTCCGTTCTCTCCCATAGTTCTCTCCCTGTGAACATGAGAAAAGCATTTATCCGGATTTTCCGACCTGAAAATCTGACCCACATGAATCATCAGATCTGCAGATCTGTAATAAAAAAAAAAAAAGGGAGGGGTACAGGAGCTGTCTGAGTGAAATGGAAAGGATTTCAGGACATCTACAGGTTGACAAAACAAAGTTTTCTTCCTTTCCAAGTACAGTATCAACAAGGATGTTCGTTTGCGTTCAGCTCATAGACTGTAGCCTATATAAGCTTCAGCTGCCAATTCCACTGTGCTCTCGCGCCTCACTGGTACGTAAGGTGTTGGGCAGTAACACTGTA